CCCTGCGGGAGGGGCACTGCCTGGCTTCTGAACTCTGTGCAGAAAAACAACAACAACAACAGCAACCCCCCAACCAAACCAAACCAAACAAAAAAAAAAAAACCCCAAAAGACAAACCCGAAAAACATAGCAAAATAAAATCCCAGAAATGATGCTGTCCCAGCAAGCCCAAAAGTGGTTTCCAACCCACGTGCAGGTCACAGTGCTCCAGGCTAAAGATCTGAAGCCCAAAGGCAAAAGTGGCACCAATGACACATACACCATAATTCAGTAGGGCAAAGAAAAGTACTCTACTTCTGTAGCAGAGAAAACGCTGGAGCCTGTCTGGAAGGAGGAGGCCTCCTTTGAGTTGCCCGGGTTGCTCATGCAGGGCAATCCAGAGAAATACATTCTTTTCCTTATAGTGATGCACAGGTCCCTAGTGGGACTGGATAAGTTTTTAGGGCAGGTGGCAATCAATCTCAATGACATCTTTGAGGACAAACAAAGGAGGAAAACCGAGTAAGTTATGTAATTTATCTTGAATTTTGGGCGCTTAAATATAATATGGATTTACTGTTCTTGAACATGGCATATTTGAAGCATGGGTCTTTGGAATTGAAATAGAATCCAGTTTTAACCATTTCGGTTTGCATGACTTTGAAGAAAAATAGCCTTTTCTGTGAAATGATTTTTTTTAAAGTGGAGTTATTAATGATCCATTATTTTTCTCATTTCTGTGTGAGGTAGACACGTCTTAAACAATGTAATATATTGCAGTGGATTTTAAGAAAATGAATACTTTGTATAAGAAAATGAATACTTTGTATAAGAGGCCTAGAGCATGAACTAGAAAATCAGAAAATTAAATCTGTGCATGTAATGGTCTGTTTGCTGAACACTGTTAAAAGGTAAATTACTAGTAAGGGCTGTCAAAAGATAAATTGCTGATTTTAGAACTCTATTTCAGCATTGTAAACAGTTGGCCTTTATTTTTGCTCCACCATTTTTCGGTGTCAGTACTTCTTGATAGAGTAGAAAGTTGTTGAAAGAAAAAAAAAAGTTTTGGAAGTCTGCACAAACATATCCAGTCTTGAGCCCACTGATATTTTCCCTTTGAGTTTGCAGTATAGTGGAGCCATTGTTTACTGAAGAATCAGTAAAGCTGCTGTGTTTAGGCCGAATTAACTGCTGTATGATTGGAGACAGTGATTAAAGTCTTGTGATGCAGTGACTTAATAACCTCTTCAATGAAAACATGGCTTTTGAAAGAGAACTTTCAAGCCTGAGTTAGATATACTTAATTTAAGAAACCAAAATACAAATCAACCCTAGGATGTTATGTCCCAAGTTGAAATAAGTAGCATATTTGGAAAGGTGGGTCTCCTGCTCCAACCTTTAACATACTTGCTTTTCTGGTCCGAAGTCATTGAGATGGCTGGAGTTTCTTGAGAGGAGGGTAGATGGAACTCATCATTCTTCCCATCCCCACCCACTAGTCCTGATGCAAGTTTATCTTCCTTTCAGAGCACTTTTTTTACAATGATAATTTTAAGTTCATGTTAATTACATTTCAAAAATAGTGATTTTTTTTTACCTACCAGTGGAATTCACGTAGTAATTGTTTTTGTTTTGTTTGAATCAAGTCTTCATCTAAGATTTAGTGTATGCAAGATAAAACACTAGAAATACAAGAAAACAAAAGGTAAATATGCAATGAGGACAGGAGAAAAAGTTTAAGTTGCATATTTAATGGTTTTAAACTTCTTGGTATCTAACAAGTAGCATTTGCTTTCTTCTGAAGGGTTCTTCATCAAATTTAAAATGAAAAATGAATAATAACCAAATAATTTGTTCCAAATTGTCAGTTTGGAGTGATTTAGTATATACCCTGTAAAGTGTTTTGACTGTGAGCTTTTAAGTATCTACCGCTTCAGATTTCTTACCATGCTTTAAACAGTACTTTTAATATTAATGATAATATACTACAGACCTCTCAAATGTAAATTCCCCCAATTTAAGTAGGCCCAAGTGTGGATACAAAGATCCTGAGAATGAAATAGCCTTTTAAAATTTCTTGTTTTATTTCCATCTTTGGCAGCTTCGCAGTTACAATAAACTAGACCATGAACAATCTCTAATATCGTATTCTGTCTATAAAACCAAGCAGAGCTTTTGGAGGGGAGATGCTTTGAAATGCTCTCAGCAGAGCTTGTGATGTTTCTTCATACAAAGGGATTTTCATCTGGTATTAAACCTTAGTGTTTTGTGTGGGTGACTAAATGGGAACTGTGTATTTGATGAGGTATCTTTATTGGTAATATCTCTAGATTTTTAATATATTTAATAGCTTCCTTTTCCAGCCCAGCTGCACATGTTGGCACAGTAAGGGACAGACTTGAGCCACCAGTGTGTTAAAAGAAAGGTCTTTAATATTCTGCACATTGCTAAACCTTGTCAGCATATTCCCAAGGGCTTTTTGGGAAAGTGGAATGAGTGATGAAGGCTACCATCTGATTGAGATGTCCCATGGAACTTTGGGGTGTGACACTCTGTACTTTTCACAGTGAATAGACACGTGTTTACATCTTGTCTTCCAGTTGTGTCACGAGAGGCAAAGAGTATGGTGCTTAAAATTATTATTCCAACTTAATTTTACACTTTGAATGTACATATGTACACACACACACACACACACACACACACACACACACACACACACACACACACACACACACACTTTATGGAGAAGGGGGAAGGGCCTGAGCCAGATCCTTTGAGCAGACAGAGAACTTTCACGTTTGCCTTCTTTTAATAGATGTCTGGGTTGGTTCTGTCATGGGATTTAAGGAAATAAAACAATGTTTAATAATAGAATGGGAAAATAGTTTATGCTATTATGAAATATCAATTGATTTTTTTAAAGTAACCCAAGTAGGTAATTGCTCTCAAAAATTAATAATAATCAAAGTACCTGGGGTTAGGGGTTAGGTGTGACTTGGGCATGTGTAGGCTTTAGGGTGTGTTTGTGTGTGTGTGTGTGTGTGTGTGTGTGTGTGTGTGTGTTTTTGATGGCATTGCACCTGCCTCCTGGCCTCTGGCCTCCTTACTGCCAGTCTTGTCCCATTTCTGACCACACAGCACCAGTTGCTTGGGAATCATTCCCACATGTGTGGTAGTTTTGGAAATGGACCTGTGCCCACTGAAAATTGAACAGAAGCCATATACCATTTCAACCCAGCACTCTGGAGGTGGGAAAGAACAGGCATTAATCCAGTTACTCCCAAGTACAGTGTCTTCATTTGTCTCTTTGAAGCCTGGGAAAACAAACATTATTTCAGGATTCTTGAAGTTCTTCTCATTAAGATCAGTTTCAAAACAGAATAGCTAAAGTTACTTGTCAGGCCTGCCCTTTACATCAGTGTGTTTATCAGAGTTCTTTTCAGGGTTTTGTTTTGTTTGTTGTTGTTTTGTTTTTATATAGACAGAAAGGAAAAAATCCATTGTATTTACACATGTATTTAAATGCATTGTTGCTTTATTCTTTAAAGCTTGCATAGGTGTTTAGAGTGTCCTACTAAAACCAAAATGGTACAAGGCATGCGTGTTTGGAGTTGAGTCTTGTTGATTTTACAAAGATGGTTCTAGAAATAAAAAATCAAGTCCAGCAGTCCACAAGGAGCTAGCTCTCTTGGAGGAGAGACACCCCTCCACCCCCATGCTTTCTGGTTAAAAACAGTGTTCTGTAACGTGTGGCAGCCATGTGGTTAACCCTATTAACACAGGGCTTCATCAAGTAAGGACTAGCTTGTATTTTCTGCAGATGTTTTTCGTCAGCTTTAGATGTTTTCCTTATTGGCTTCCATCGGACTTGGGGAAATGGCTTGTCATTCTCCTTGCCTCAGGTTCTTTATCACCAGAGTAAGGGTGTTAAAGTAGATAATTCATTTGCTCTTACTTCAAAAACTCTGAATTTTGACCACCTTTTACCCGCTTCCATTTTGGGGACCACTGATATATTGTCCTGAACTTGGGTTTTATCAACTTGTTATAAACTCCACATATGTGTTTTTGTTGCTTGTTTTGAGGGGGAGGTACTTTTTTTTTTTTTTTTTTTTTAAGCAGGGTTTTCTGGAACTAGCTCTTGTAGAGCAGGCTGGTCTGGAACTCACAGAGATCCGCCTGCCTCTGCCTCCTGAGTGCTGGGATTAAAGGTGTGCGCCACCACTGCCCGGCATTGGGGGAGGGATACATTCTTATAAAGAACGTTCGATCATTTTTCACATAGCCTGAGATTTTAGAGTATTTCTCAGGATCACCCATCAGGAGCATTTCTCAAACCACTGAAAATGGCTGTCTTTTCTAAAACCCTAAGTTTACTCAGGGGTGTGTAGCTTTGCCTCATTTGGAGGTGTTCTGAGAGCTCATGTTTGTATTGTTTGGTGCCTTCCATCCTACAGTTCATTGTTGCCATTTCTTACTCCCAGTCCTGTTGAGATGTTATCATTGTATAACTTTTTCTTAGTTCAGGGTCTTAGAGTAATTCATCTACCATAGACTATTCTATTTTAAGAAACTGCTTGTTTTGGAATCGATTGATTGAATCATTCCAGTTCATCAAGGAAGCATGGCAGCATAATGGAGCTGATAGAAGTTGGGTGTTGGCAATCTGTCCTTCCTGTGTGCCAGTCTTTGGTTGATGTATAGTAAATCCAGTCATATTTTAGCTATCCTGTTGGCAAGCAGCAAGAAGAAAAAGTAATATAAAATTTGGTCAGAGTTGCTTTGTAGTAAAATCCGTGGTGCTGTGTTTAAATAACAGCATGTCTTCAGAATGGGGGTCAGACTCCCTTGCTAAATGATGTGAAAACATTGGGGCAACATGCTGCAGGTTCTGGCTGTTTGCCCTGTAGAGTGACCACTAGTGACCCCAACAACTGGAGGATTTCTTGTGGATAAAAATACTGTAAACAAAACCAAAAGAAGTCCTGCTTCATATATAGTTCACTTACACATTGGCAGCATGATGCAAGAGATTCCTGAGAGCTGGGGTCTGGATTTTCTTTTAAAAGTCCTTTTAATTTTGCAGAACCAGTAGCTTTCTGGAAGGAATTATTTGATCTTTTTATTCTTTGAAAACTTCACAAGATTTATTGTTTATCATTTCTTACATTTGACTCATTTTTTCATATTTTACTTAGGCAAAGGCTTAGATCCATTCTATGTGAATGTAAACATTGGTACTTGGAGTTTAATGGTTATCATATTATGTACTATTCCCATTGTTAATAAAATTCTTTTCCTATAAATCATATTTTGGGATAGGGGTTAAATATTTTATTTAAATGTCATCATTATTTGTCATTTTATGGTACTCAGAAATGATTGGAAGTGATGAATTACAGTTCCTGGCTCAGTGTCTTTGAATGTTAAACATATCCTTAGGCCATTAGTAACACTTGTCCCATATGGAAACATAATTATCTATTGTTGATAAGAATGTTTGATGATGATTGAATTATGAGGGGAAATTTTATCTAAGCCCTTTACATACTCTCCTTTGGTCTGTATCATTCTACAGAAACTGGACCAGTTTGTTTGTTTGATTTGTTTTCTTTTTAAACAATGAGTTAACCTAGAAATTTGTGGCTGACTGGTTCTTATTCAGTGTGTAGATGATGGGTGGCCACTTTACTTAAATAGCTGCCTGGATATAACACAGCTTGCTGTTGCCATTATATGTTAAAACCAATTTTTTCTCTTCTCTTGAAGGTGGTTTAGATTAGAATCCAAACAAGGAAAGAGAATCAAAAACAGGGGTGAGATAAAGGTCAATATTCAGTTTATGAGAAACAATATGACAGCAAGTATGTTTGACTTGTCAATGAAGGATAAGACAAGATCGCCTTTTGCAAAATTAAAAGATAAGATGAAAGGGAGGAAAAATGACGGGACAATGTCTGATACATCATCTGCAGTCATTCCAAGCACACACACGCCCGATGCCAAGGCTGTGCTTTCAAGCAGCGAAACACAGATGAAATCCAAACCAAAAACGCCTTTTCTATTGGGTCCTCAGCGGCTCTCTTCTGCCCATTCGATGTCTGATTTGACTGGGTCCCACTTGTCTTCTGAAAAACTGAAGTCCAGTGCTATAGGTCCAACATATCTTCTCAGTCGCCAGATAGATTCCTTTGGAGTTGTTCCAGAAAGTGGTAAGTGGCACTCAGCTCTGTTTATCCCTCTCTTGTATTTTATATATTTGTATTTATATTATAGGCAATATTGAAGTCAATCTTAGTCTTCACTCATGGCCTGGCCTTTTTTTGTTGTTTTGCTGCCATTTCTGCTTTTCAAAAGCTTGCGGCCAGGCTAGGTCGGTAAACTACTTGCCTTGAAAGCTGGAGGACCTGAGTTCAATCCCCAAAACCCACATTCAAAAAGCAAGGCAGGTGGTGGCACAGTTGTACACACACACACAAAAAAATAAAACAAGAAAATCTGCAGCATATATTCCATCCCATCTAACTGTTCCTAGGGAGAACATCTATATCCAGAGGAAAGTCTAAGACTTGCCAACATGATAGTTGACAGCAGGTCTTTTGGGTTTACCTTATACTTTCCTCATGTGATGGTTTCTAAGCCACTAAGACACCCAGTTGTCTCACAGTGCACTATGTGCTTCACAATATCCCTTACCTAATTTTAAGATTGTTTTGAGGGTTAATATCTTTAGCTAATTGTTCTCATTCTGAAGCAACAAAAATAGTATAATAGCGTTATGTCACCCATCACCTACTAATGGGGGAAAATGTTTGTAGGAAGTCTCAAGTCTCCACAGAGAAGAACACTAAGCTTTGACACTTCCAAACTGAACCCGCCTGGCAGCATTGTGGATGAAGGCGAACGCTCTTTTGGAAGACAGAGTGACCCGTTTATGAATGTGACTGCTTCATTACCCCAAAAATCTGCAACACTGCCAAGGAAGAGAAATCCATTTGAAGAAAGCAGTGAGTCGTGGGACAACAGCATGCATTTATTTTCAAAACCAATTGAAGTAAGGAAAGAAAATAAGAGAGAGAAAAAAGAGAAAGTGAGCCTTTTTGAACGAGTGACCGGGAAGAAAGACAGCAGAAGATCGGAGAAGCTTAACAATGGGGGATCTGATAGCCCCTGTGACTTGAAATCACCTAGTGCGTTTAATGAAAATCGGCAGGACTATTTTGATTACGAGTCAACCAATCCGTTTACAGCAAAATTCAGGGCTTCAACTATAATGCCATCTTCAAGGTAAGCTCACAAGGAGGAGTGTGTGCGCCACTTGGGGAACCTTGTACTTGAAAGTAACAAATATTTCTTTTAGATGCATGAATATTTTATATTCATTTTTTACATAATTCTTTTCTAAGAATTCATTACAGACCTAAACATTGTTGCTTGCATATATCCTTGGAATTGAATGTTTTGCCTTGGAAGAACAAAGTCGTCTTCCTTTTACCCCTAGTCTGCCCCTACCGAGGGAAGCCTAGAAGCCACTATAGATAGGTCTTGTAGAAAACCACATGGCTTCTGATGAGACCCAGTGAGAGTGAATAAACCATGGTTACAAATTCAATCCAGAAGTGTGTTTCTAGGTACTTCCCCAAGATTAAGTCATGGGGTGGCTGGAGGGCTTTAGTGAACCAATAGCAGTCACACACTGTTCTTTACAAATGCCGGCTGGAGTGTTGACGTTGTCATAACCGATGTTAACTCTCCTTATGAAATGGCTGCTCAGAAATTTCTTTTATTCATGAGTGTTTTCTGGAGTCTGGTGACCCTTGCGGGCACTGTGAACACACTAACCAGAGCCCTGGGATGACAAGTGTCCAGCTGAAGAAGATGGTATTTTTAAAGCTCTGGGTCCTTCCACGTGTACTGCTTCTTACTCCATGGCATCTGAAAGTCAGGGGTTCTGCAGATGTGAGTGACGGGAGGCCTGATGAAGGGACCGAAAACAAAGATGAAGATGACCTTGAAACTTTTAAGTAATTGTGGAAGAACACAGTGGAGGCAGTGTTTGCCACACAAAGGCTGCTTTTCCTCCAGCTGTAGTGTCCAGAACATAGACCTGAGCGGGAGTCCTTGCTTTGTAGTGCTATGACCTCTGTAGATCTTAGCATCTACATCTTTTGAGGTAAAGAAAATACTTTGTAGGATTTAGTGAGGGTAAATAATGCATAGAGTACATAGTACAAAGCCAGGCACCAAATAGGGGACCGATAGATGGTCACTGCTTCAGGGTGAGCATCCTTGATTTGAAACCTGACCCACTTTTATATAGAAATATGGCACCAGCGTTAATGCTTTCATCATGGATGGAACTCACTGGAGTTTCAGATTTGAAACATTTTGAATTTTGGCTTTTTATATATAAAGTTATGCATATATTCTGAAATCTTCCCCAAATCAAACTCTAAAGCATGTTGGGTCCCAGGAGTTTTCAGTAAGGAAAAGATAACCTCTGTCTTGATTGATGTATTATCCTGTATTGTTTTCTTTAAGATTAGTGCTTTTTGTTCTGTCCCACTACAAACAGAAGATGGAGCATCAGCAGCCACTTGGGTAGGCCTTGCACTTGGGCCTCTCTCTCCCTCCCTCCACTCACTCCCTCCTCTCTGTCTCTGTCTCTGTCTCTGTCTCTGTCTCTGTCTCTCTCTCTCTCTCTCTCTCTCTCTCTCTCTCTCTCTCTTGTGTGT